AGATACTCCGACGCGACAGCGAAGAGAAGGGGACGAACGGGTGGAGGTGGACAGGACAACAGATGGAACAGGACATATTGATTGAATGTAGAGGAGACATGAAGAATAAAACCGATTGAAAACGAATCCAAATGACTAAACGAACGAGTGGATTGAATTATGCTTAATCCGTTCTTTAAGTCGCTTTTTCCAGCGAGCAAATTTATAAAAATGTTGCATAATACAGTACTCACTAATAGCATTTTATATGATTTTTACAACGAAAAACATTATTATGTACATATAAAATAAAAAACCAATAAATGCTTAAGGATATGATAAATACTAATGTATTGAAATGTAATAAAATAAATTTAACTTTATTTTAAGATTACTTCTTTTAGATACGAGAGATTAGAATTATAATTGTCTTTAGTTGAAATAAGCCTTGTATCTTCCAGTACATTTAAATTGTTTTCCGCTTTGTACCTTGTAAATGCAATCTTTGACAAATCCATTTTATTAATAATATTTCGTCCTCATAAGTACAAAAAATATCTTATTCAATTGTGAAGTGGATTATCAAGTTTGTTCTACCGTCCTTTTTCGTTTTTGTTGGTTTTTCCTTATTTAATTCATGCATGCGGGGCTTCCGACTCATACTAATACAAGTTAGTAGCGTAGGACGCTTATGTCCTGGTAAGAGGGAGATGGTGTCAGTCTGGCAGCGTTCGACTTTCTCCCTCCCTCCAGTGAAGTTAAACCGCAGACTGCCAACGCAACAGTCAAGTCACGTCAAAGGCAGTCTGTCTCCCTTACCCATTTCCCATTTTCCTCTTTTCCGTCTGCGTATTTCATTTCACTTTGAATTCGTCCGATGTTCTATTTAAATGGTTACGTAATTGCATAATTATGGGCAAATGTAAGTTGAAACTTGTGGTTTGTCTCGCTCTTCTGTAAACAAGATTTCCACAAAGAGTTTTGGTATTTGTTGTGGGAGGAAAATTAATTCAGGAGAAAGCATTGAGGGAGGTCACTGAACTGAGAGGGGAATTTGTAACTGGAGCGTGGTACAAAATCGATGGGGAGCATACTGAATCCGGAATATAAATGACAGTCATAATTCAGGTTTTTACAAAAATATCTTTTGGGGTAGCAAAAAGCTTAGAAATTTCTTATGTAGAAACAAACAAAATATAAATCTTTAGATACAGTACCATGCTACACGATGGACTTAGTTAAATATTGGGGTAAGTTAATGGCGGAACGTTTTAAAATCTACGGTTTGCTGTACAAGTACTTTAAAGCACTTACACTAAAGAATATATTTGCATAAAATGTAATACAACGTACGTTTACTTCTATTGGGAAATAACCTACGGACTTCAGTTAAATACTAAATTAAAAAAATTATATAAATAAATTTACAAAAATAATAAGTTAACAAACTTGTATGCGAGTTTTCTAATTACGTATTTAGCACAAAAGCTCGAAAAATATGGCTCAATCTTAAAATCGTTGTAATATTAAGCAATGACTTTCAAATTATAATTGAAATTTAATAAAAAAAAATGCCCCAATGTCAACAATACAGGAGTCCAGGAAACAAGCACGCACTCATCTCCACCTTAAAATTAGGAATCAGCAGTCCAGATGTCAAGGATTTAATTAAATGCTATAAATCAAATGCCTGACAACTTTATGCAAATTCTGTTGAACAATTTGTAGCCTCTGGTCACAATTCAAAAACCAGAGCCAACATTTACACATTAAAAAAAAAAAAAAAAATGTAGAATGCAATTTATAGCATTTAAATGCTTGGGTAAATAGACAGCAAAGAAGATTTTCAAATCGCCCTCACGTTTTTCAATTAAAACCCCGTTTTCTTTTTCCGGACTTGTCCTCTATCTCTCCCTATATTTCCCGGCATTTTCGCCGTCTTTTGCTGTCAACGGACGACGCGTGAAAAAACGCGAACAAGAAAACGCACTCGCTTTTATTTCCGCTAGGCAACCACATCGGCACGTGATTTGCGACGAATTTTCATTTTTGTTGATTTTTGGTGTTGTTTGTTTCCGCGCTTGCGGCTAGCAATTGGTAATTTAATTTTTGCGATCTAACATTTATGCAATCTATTTTTAAACGCACTTGAGTAACACATTGCACACTGCAAAATTGACTTACAATTTTTGTACAATATTTAACTTGATTTTTACCTCGCAGTTATTTGTCCAATTTCTTCAATTAAAAAATGAATGTTTTATTTCGTTTGAAATGTGTTTAGTTTTTACTAGTTCGAAATAAATGCAATGGGAAAACATTTTAGAAGAAGACAACGTTAAACCAAATTTATTTATTATTTAAACTTTAAACGTTTAGTCTTTATACTCAGTTAAAAAAAAATGTAAATTTGAAATTAAATTGCCTTCCTTCTAGACCAGCACGATAACAAAGACACTCACAAATTATGCACACACAATAGAAACGAAGCGAAATTTCAGTTTGCCACCATCGCACACCCCACGAAAATATTCGTTTTTCTCTTTCAGGAGCCGCCAGCTGCTGCCCTGAAGAAATCAAAACACTTATCAAATATGCATTGCGCATATTAAAAATCAATTAAATATTTACACAAACACACAAAATGGCGGCGGCCGAGAGCACTTAAAAATGGCTGCTGCGGCAGCAACAACAATGCTTGCTCTGAGTTCCACAAAGGCAGCGGGCACTGTAACGTAATTGAGGCAGCAGCAAATACAGAAAGGCGAAATGAAATTAAAAATTTATTTTGAGTCAGCTGTTGTTGCTTACAGGTGTAAGCAGATTCTTTAGAAGTACAACTAAACACCAGCAAAAAACCAGGGATAATCGTTGATATTATTAAATTTTGTCATTTTTGTCATTGTTTAAAAAGTAAAAGCTCGTAGAGTTGCTTGGTGCTTTTAAAAACTATGTTAAGCAACATCAAAAATTTGTTTGTAAAAAATCATACTATTCGGTAATTTATTTTAAAATTTTGTTTACCCTTTTAAACGAATCCTTTTTTTTGTTTTTTTTTTTTAAACTCAGCTTTTTTAAAAATACTTTACCGATAACTTGTTATTATAGGATGGAAGTTTAACTTTAAGCAGAATAAAAATAGAAAAAACTGGTGTGCACAAAAAAAATTATTTAAACCCATTTGTCTGTTATTCTAAGATGCCACATTCTTGCACTTCTACTTAAAAGACATTGCTACATTTATTTAAAAATCGATTAAATTGCTTAACTTTTTATACCCTTGCAGAGGGTATTATAATTTCAGTCAGAAGTTTGCAACGCAGTGAAGGAGACATCTCCGACCCTATAAAGTATATATATTCTTGATCAGCATCACTAGGCGAGTCGATCTAGCCATGTCCGTCTGTCCGTCCGTCTGTCCGTCTGTCCGTCCGTCTGTCCGTCTGTCCGTCTGTCCGTCCGTTTATATGCAAACTAGTCTCTCAGTTTTAAAGCTATCTGCATGAAACTTTCCCAAAAGTTGTCTTTCTATTGCAGGTAGTATATAAGTCGGAACGAGCCGGATCGGACGACTATAGCATATAGCTCCCATAGGAACAATCGGAAAAATAAATGAAAAAAATTATAACTTTGCTGTTTTTTAATTTTTTGTTTAGTTCTTCGACATTTAGTAATGGTTAAATATTTCCGATTTACGGTTTAAATTTCATCAAAATCGGACGACTATAGCATATAGCTCCCATAGGAACAATCGGAAAAATAAATAAAAAAAATTATAACTCTGCTGTTTTTCAATTTTTTGTTTAGTTCTTCGACATTTAGTAATGGTTAAATATTTCCGATTTACGGTTTAAATTTCATCAAAGTCGGACGACTATATCATATAGCTCTCATAGGAACAATCGGAAAAATAAATGAAAAAAATTATAACTTTTCTGTTTTTTAATTTTTTGTTTAGTTCTTCGACATATAGCAATGGTTAAATATTTCAGAATTATGGTTTAAATTTTATCAAAATCGGACGTCTATATCATATAGCTCCCTTAGAAATAATAAAAATATATAAAATAACTATCAAATAATTGAGCTGCTAATCATCATAGCTTCAATGTTTTTAAACATATACGAAAGTAAATCATAATTTTAATGTTTTCAAAAATGTTTAATTCTTGCAATAGCTGCAAGGGTATATGAACTTCGGCTTGCCGAAGTTTGCTTTCTTTCTTGTTTTCTTTATATTTCCAAGTTTTCTATAGCCTAGCAACCACGGTAACGGAAATGGAAATTGCAATTGCTTAACAGACGCGCAAACACATTGCAGAAATGTGAGTGTGGGAAAAAGCGGCGTAGAGGGGAAACGGAAGGGGAAAAAGAAGAAAGGCAGTTAAGGCAGCTGCCATTGCTGTTGTTGAAGGTTTGCATTTCCGGTATGCGAACATACACACTCAGGCATTCACAGACAAAGAGGGTGAGAAAGACACAATCTGAAGACGTAACAATGTGTAATTGTTGGGGCCCATTGATAAAGCTTAACAGTCCAAAAATGCTAGAGAGAAACCAGCCACAGACCCAAAAACTCATTTGCATTTAACACGTTGACACACAGCAGGAAGTTACAGTGGCAAACAGCTAACTGCAACAATTGCAAATGCAGCCATTTTAATAACTTGACGTGGAGAACGCTCTATTGGAAAGCACATATTATCAATTTCACTACAATGAACAGTTTTTGTATATCAATCTCTGTATTAAGAAGAATACTTTTGTTATTTTTCCTGTCCTAGCATTTCTGTACCATACGGTCCGTTTGTTTTAACTAGATTAAAATATATGTTTTACAACAAATTAATGTTTAATTTCAAAAATCTTTGTACTAAAATGATTTTATATTAAAGCCTAGTAAACAATTTCTATCTTTCAAGACTTAACTTATAACAAACATTTACACAAGTCGCACACAAAATAAAATATTTTTAACAAGTAACTATAGCTATACAATCATTATTTTAAAGTTTCCTTACTTTGTAGGTGCACTGTAATTTACAAAACACAACTTTAAACTGCACAGTGAAAAATCGGTTTCACGGCTAAATTAACAAAAGACAAGGGCCAACCGAAAGGCTTTGATTACGACTGTTATCATTTGAGCCTGTCCCTTTTTTATTGCACACACAGACGCACTTCTCTTCAAAAAAGCTTTCTTTTCCACTTTGACTGATTGAATTTTCTTCGGCGCACCTAATTGTACACTTCACCGAATGAGAGAAGAAGGACCGAAAATAAATAATTAAAGGAGCCCGGCTCTTTGGTAATTCTTTTGGGTTAATTGCAGAGTTAAATGTGAGTTTTACAATAAGTATTGCCTACTTAAGGGGGCACACTTGCACAAATGCCCGGACGCGATAACGCGGTGTTAAACGACAACGGTTAACGACAATTGACGAGGACGAACGACGAAGGATAACGCCGCTGATCAGGACATCCGCACCGTTTGAAAGCACGATTTATACTAAATACTGCCTTCGCTTCGGCAGCGGAGTCGGCAAATTGTCAAATTGAATTTCGCACACTAACACAGACAGAGTCCTTTGGCGAAGGTCCTGGAGGAATTGGCTCTCTGTTTACAGGCGGCAAACGTTGTGTACTAAAAACCAGAGTGGATAAATTCATTCTCTCCAGGAAATTTTCTCTCGTTTGCATTATGGGTTCGGCTTTAAGGTTCGCTGTCTCTTCCACATGTTGCCATCTTAGCAACCTGTTAGACTAAGCCATTATAATTTCTCCTCCAAAAACATGATTCCTTTACAATTCATGAATGAAAAAATCGAATTATAAAAGGGCATGTTAGGATGAAAGAAAATACTAGATAATCAGCTATTGAATATTCTAGAAACATTTATAAGCTCTTTGAAAATAATAAAGTTTATTCTATATTTAAATTTATTTTTTAAGCCAATATTAAAAAAATATAAAACTAATTTTCCTTATCTAAAAAATCAAATACAATACTGCTTTTTATTACAATACATTTCATGACAACACTTTACTAACTCAGCAATGAAAAGTCAGTTAATTTTAGCTTTTTATATTCTATGACAAAGTGTAATATAAAAATAAATAATATGCCCACGCTTTAAAAGAAAACGGGGAAATTTTTCAATTTCCTTAAGAGAATATTCACCTTACTAAAAGAGCGCGCATGCGTTCAGAAAGTTTACGGTTTAGGGGAAATTGTAATTTACAAAACGGTTTAGGCATTATTGTACGGTCTAAAATAGACCAAAACAAAAAATGGTACGCAACAATAAAGAATAAAAAAAAAGTAATATTAATAATTTAAATGGATTTTAAATATTTAAAGAGAGGTATAAGTTAAGAAAACAATTAATAATATAAATAAATACTCCTTAATAAATATTATTTTTAAGCAAATTTATTTTTTTCAAAGAATTTTATATGAATGTGACAGTTATATTCAGAGTATTATGATAAATATAGAAACGTGACAATGCGAAAATAGCAATCTCATACGAGTAATCACTAAAGTATGTAGGTAAGATTCTTCCAATTAATATGAACCCCTTTATGTTAACCCCACCGCAAACAGCAACCGACTAACCAACTGACGGACAAACAACAAGGATAACCAGCAAACAACGACAACAACCACAAACGTTGACAACGATCTGTGGAGCCAGCCAAGGAGCAAGTACCGGCAAACTTTAACCGCCAAAAAGGACAGACATAACAAGAAAAAAACAAATGAAAACAACAAACACTTTCCAGATACTCTAAATGTTAATAAATGTTAATACTTTTTAAAAATTTTATTTGTTTCTTTCAAAATTGTTTTTGTTTTATCATAGAATTTAAAAAAAAAAAATATTTGGTATAGGTCAGCTTTTCTGAGTGTGTATAAAATATTTGTTTATTGAATTTGTAATGAGAACTCTAACCCTTGAAATAATATTAAGGTACCACAAATCTTGATATAAGGTGGGATCGACACTATTTTCTAAGGTCGTTCGTTTCTTTGAACAGACAACTTTTAGAAATACTAGCAAATTTAAATAAATGTTTTCTAAAATTAATGTACTGTTTGCCCTGTTCAATAATTGTGATTTAAATGCTATAAATACCCTCGACAAGGGTATAACCACGCAACGAAAAGGCTTGAACAGAGCAAGTTGAAGTGGAAATGGAATGTATTCAACATCATCAACAACAACAATGGGAATGGAAGCTGAATGTGGCGATGTTGAACCTAGACGACAATAAATACGCAACAAAAAAAGCAAGCATAATGGGGAAAGCAGGAACAATCAGGTGGACGCTGATGGGGGAAGAGGCAGCCACAGCATCTCTCTCTCTGTCACACTCTCCGAGCCATATCATCGCCGCATCATGATGTAAAAACTTTCCCGGCTCCCCGCTTTAGCCCGTAGGAAAACCTCTAACCCAAAAGCCCCAAGACCTCCGATTTACCAACTCTCCTAACGGGGAGTCTGCCCTTTAACAGAATTTTTGTTTACAAACTTTTGCTTGTTTGTATATTCTATTCGAACGGAGAACAGGGGAAAGGCAAAGGACCTCATGCCCTCCTGTCCACAAAGGACTCCATCCCCTTCCTTCCCTCCCCTCCCCTACCTCACCCAATTCCCCGCTCTGTTGACTTATTCTGCGGCGAAGCGACGCCCGCTAAAAGTTGCGAAAATTTCGTTGTTTTGTTCTATATTTTTTATTTTTTCCCTGACGCTTAACAAGAAAATTCCTGATGCGATTATGAGACTCTTGTTAAGGTGAGCCAGAAAAATGGGAGGCAGAACCAGATCGCATGACACAGAGAGTGGAAATTCCTTTGTGGTTGCTGTGGTTGGGAGTGAGCTGGACTTTACTGGTTTAACAAAATATTAAAGTGGTAATACAAATGAGCTAAATTTAGTAAAGGCAACAACTTTTAAATTGCCAATCCAATCCAATTAAACATTAAAAAAAAAGAACGTTGTAATGATCAATCAAAAGTAATAAACATATATTACTTAAAATAAAATAAAAGCTATTTGGAATACTAATTAAGACAATGTAATTGATTAGTAAAAAATTTAAAATTAATTTAATAAAAAAAAGATAGAGAAATTTAAATTTAAAAAAAAAGTATTATATTATATTAGTTAACATTATTTTAAAGCCTTTAATAAATATATTAAATAACAAAACAGTAAGTACAAAATATGTTCCATCAGCTCAGTTATAAAGGTTTAATTTAGTAGTGTATTCCGTTTTCCTTATAATATTTACAACACTGCGCACTTACCTGCAATGAAAAAGAGAGATACAAGATACGAATCAATTAGCTGGATCAGATACTCTCGTGAAAGCACGCCCTGAAAACGGATCAAATTTCAAAGCAGTCGGCTCCTTGAGAACCCAATAAACTTCTTGAGCAACTGCAAAGAGCGACCGCAGGAAAATGCACTCAAAAGTCTAGGTGACATCACGCACCGCCCCACCTTTTACAACCGCCCACCGCCCACGAGCGACCACACAATGCAATAACGCCGACAGATTACAAAGTGCACATGTGGTAAGCTCCCGAAGTGGTGGGCGCGATGGGGCACAAGTTACCAACGGAGATGGGTTCGGAAAATCCATGTTAGGGACAACGGAAACAAAGCACTTGAAACCTTGCGGTTCAACCCATGGGCTCTCTTGTTCTTCAATGCCCTTTCCTGCGATTCCATTCCATTTCCTTTCTCCGCGATTATTTACAACTAAATTATCTCAATATTAAATCATTGTCAATATTTCCATATAAATCAATTTTTGATAAGTATAGAAATAACATTTTTAAGACTTTTTCAATGCTAATAATTTATTATCGAAAATTGGTCATTAAAAACGTTACCTTAATACTTCTTACTATACTTAATTAAAATTTTTTACTATACGAGGTTATTTTTATGAAATCTGTATTTATAAATTATTTACTCTCCAAAATTTTGATTTGATTTTATTTTAACATTACATTTGTTGTGCTATTTATTAATTAAAAAATTTGTAGTACATGTTATTGAAAAAATACAAACTAAGCCTTTGGAAAGTATTCAATATTCGACTTTTTGTCAAAATGTTTCATTTGTTATTTGGGTGAAAATTTGCCGAACTCCATTAAGTTGACGCGAAGAACTTTGCGTTTGTGGTCGCTGCTTGTTGCTTATATTCTTGTAGTTGATTTTTGGAGTCTGTCCAAAATGTGTCATTGTTTTGTCTCTGTGAAGTGACTGCTAACATCTTCTCGATGAAGTAGAAAGCAAAGGGAAATGGCAGTGAAAAGTGTCAGCACAGAGCTCTCCCATATGCATGTTCATGGACAGGAACAGACGCTCCCATTCTTTATAGAGATAACAACATGTACAGACGTACAAAATTAGCTCAGTGATCGAAGGTTCTGTTTACGGATTGATTGACTCCTTTATTCTTGACCGACCAACAACAACATTTACTAATTTGATTTAATGTTGCAAAGTGGAAATCTATGAGAACTAAAACATATGTTTAAGATATAATTTCATTAAAACTGTTAGACCTTCAAGTAATAACATTTCAAACTAACCAGTAAGAAGTTTAATGCCTAGGTGGCATTTTTAATGTGACAATAAAGGAAGTGAACTCCACAAGACCTTTCCTTTTCCCCCAATCTATTTATTTCAATAGCATGCTGCCGGAAAAATGGCTCTGCAAGGCCTTTAACAAAAAAAAAAATATCAACGCACCCTTTCGAAACGGATGAAACTGCCACACTGGGGGAATAAGGGATCTGAATTGGGAGAAAGAAGATGAAGGACGCACCGTCCCCACATACACGTACACAAAACAGATAAATGGGTAGCAAGTTTTTAACAAAACCAACGGATCGGGCAGTGCATTGAGCTCAGACATTTCCTGCCCCATGCATCCTCAAAGAAAATATGACTAAAATAAACGTGTTTCGACTTCAAGATACCTGGTATTAAAAGTTTTTAAGATGTCGGGTCTTAAGGTTGTGCTCGATATTGATAACAAAAATAGTTATTAAAAAAATGAAACAAATTTATAAATTGTATTAAAAAGTATGATTTTATAACTAATAAATATTTAATAATACAAATATTGTGCGAAAATAATTTTTAAACGTACTTGCTTTTTTAATAGGAAGAACAAGTTCCTTATAACTAATAAATATTTAATAATACAAATATTGTACGAAAATAATTTTTAAACGTACTTGCTTTTTTAATAAGAAGAACAAGTTCCTTAATTTCAAATACAGGGTGTCGAAAGGAAGAAACAACGTCAAAATATAAAATTCTGCGTCAGTAGAAAAAGTTTATGGGGTGACCCCCAACGAAGCCGGAGAAAAAGCAGATTCGCAGACGGAGACGGTCGTCCAAGTGCAGTCGTTGTCCCTCAAACTCACACAGAGATAGAGGAAAATCGTAGGGGGAGATGAAAAGCGGGCAGCTAAAAGGCGAGAAGGAGACGGGACCGAGCACGCAAATATGCCAAAACCTTGCAGAGACAACAAACAGGAAGTACGCATTTCCTGCACTCGAGAAATAAGAAATAAAATAAAAACATTCCGAGCACCAGGAATGGAGAACGGAGAAAATGGAGAATCCAGGGGACGAAACTGAGCAAATGAAAACGCAGTCGAGACACAGTAGAAATGTCGCGACGACAACTTTTTGACACAAAAGTGCCTGAAAAACAGTTTTTCTTTAGTTTTCCCAGCCAGTCGCCCTACGCCGTGAAATTAATTGAAACTGACTAGACTTTTGGAGGATTGAATGAGTGAGTGAGTGAGGGGGAGCGTAGACTTGATCTTGACACTGTCCCATTGCGATGTCCGTGAACCTGAACTTGCCAAATACTGCAGGCGCCTTCAACTCCCAACAGACCTCCAATAATTTTAGAGTGACAGTGTTTATTCGCATATTGCACACCTTTACAAGTTTATAGTTACACTTGTTGGTGCAAAACCAAACTTATAAATATGTAACCATTTTGAATATTTTAAAATGTATTTATATTTTTATTATGTTTGATAAATTTATTTTTTTTTTAATGTTAAATAAGATATAAAATTGGATCAAACACTCTCAATATCAAATCGAGAAGTTGTTTCAAATTATTATTATAAATTACAAATATTAAATTATATGTTGTTTCTTATGCTATATTACAGAATAGAAAATCTAATTAAGTAATTTTAAACATGAAAATATTTAGAATGTTTAAATTCCTTTATAGCAAACTTACTTTTGATTCTTTTAAAATTCACAATAAATTTAAACAATGTTAAAATATTCAACATTTATATCTGGATTGCCTCTGTAACGTATTTGTCCACTCAGCATTCCTGAGCACTTTCCCCACCAAATGAGTTTCGTGTCACAAGTTGACCCTGCCGAGATTAAGTGGGCGTTTAATTTGCCAACTCGCACCCTCCACCCGAAACCCTCCTCCCAAAACCCTCCCCATGAGCCCCATCCATCCCTACACACTTCGTACACCCTCGTCTATGAAAATACTGCGTTAATGTAATCCACGCTCTTGGCATTTCCGTATGCTTCCGTTTGCTTTTTCTCCATTGCTTTTTATTTTTGGGAGTTTTTGTGCAGGGCTTTGTCCTTGGCAGTTGCCTCGTAACTTTGCCACTTGGATGATCTCTCTCTCCCTGCTGTTATGCCATTTTAGCTTAATCAACAAAGTAAATAAAATGTCCTGGCGACTGACCCTTGGACGGAGGTAATTTTCTGGCATTATTTTATGAAGTCATAGGGCTTTTAATAAGTTAAATATAAGTATGTATTTTCGAATAAATTTGGGATTAGTTTTTGGGCATAAATATGGCTTATTACAGAAAAGCAAATTGGCACTCAGTTTGCATTAGGATAATTTAGAAAATAATTCCACGCCAACTAAATGTACGCCATAAGTACAAAATAAATTATAAAAACTATAAATAGTAATATTGCTTGCTTTTAACAGCGAATATTTATAGATAAAGAAAACAACCATTCAGGACTATGTAATTTTTTTTTACCATATCCACAACTCAATAAGGTCTTTTGAATTCATCACACACATTTTACCATGGAAGAATCAGAAGCAAATCAAGCGAAATCACTTTGATGTGCAATAACAATATGACTCATGCGTGGAGGAAAAGGAGGAACTAGAGCAAACCAAACCGAGAATTGAAATCATGGATTCCCTGTTGCTCCGTCCCCATTTCTCCCTTGCAAAGTTAGTTGTCAACACGGGTCCCACGTAATTATAAAGTTGCAGGGCTTATTCAACACCACCCATACTTATACAGCTATAGGAACGTAAATAGAATTTTGGTATATGAAATACATCCTGATTGTTAAAATTATATTTTAAACAGATAGTGAATAAAAAATTTGACAAGAAAAAGGGCAACTTGGTCTAGCCAAGGTTTATATACCCCAGCAGCCATTGTAAAAGTTAAATATTCTTTAAAAAAGCTATTTTTCGAATATATATGTTTAAAAACAATGAGGATATGATTATTTTTCGATGATTTATTGGATCTTTCCTATGGCATCTATACGACATCGTTGTCAGATTTTAATAAAATTAAACCCATAATATTGAAAGAATAAACCATAATTTATCAATTTATAGATGTATATAAATCATTTTAACCATGAACAAAAATTCTTTAAAAACAAGAAATATAACTATATGCCAATAAATTTAGCTTACAAGAGTAGGGTTATCTGAGTTTTAAAAATTTCTTCAATCTGCCTAAATCATTAAGCTTTAACAATAGATATTTAACCTGATCCATCAAAAACTATTATTTTAGCCACCAATGTAGCGCACATCGAGACACATTTCATTTGCTTTCTAATAATTTCTGTGGAAAATTCCGATTGCACATGTGGGACTTTGTATTGGCAGCACTGTGGAAACCAATTAAAATGCTGCACTAGCTCTGATTATGGCAAACGACAACGTTGTGGGGAGTGGCGGCGTGAATAGATTGGTATGTGTCAACTAAGTGCAGTTAATTAGTGCGAAAATCACTTCAGTTGGCTTGGGATATTTTTTCCTCTCTCAGATTTCTTTTAAGCTTTTTGTTGTTGCCACCTCCTCGTCGCAAGGATTTTCCTTGGCGAATTTTCACGTTAATTGCTCTGCGTCCTGCAATCAGCCGGAAAACAGGAGCAGAAGCCAGGAAAGGCAGCAGCTTGCAAGCGAGCTAAGCCACTCAGGGATTTACTCAATTTGTTGTCACTTTACTCCGCAATTTATTTCGGTTTGTTTTTCCAACACATTCTTGATTTTTCTTTCGTTTACATTAAGACAATTATTTTGTATATTCCAAGGATTAAAAAAACAAAAAAAAAGCATGTATATAGATATGCGAAATGAAGAGATTAGAATACATTCATTGAAAACAATAGTAAGTTGGAAATTAAATGCATATATTTGTATACGATTATATTTAAATAAACAATAGGACCTTTATAGATTAAGAATAATCTGGGATTCCTTATGATCTATGTGTTGTGAAATCCCCGAGTTATTAAAATAATTTAAGTAATATCAAGCCTCAATTTGCCTTAAACCTAAGATCGGCTACAAGAGCAACATGGTCTGATGGAAACACAGCTGATGGTATGCCAGCATTAGCCTTTAACTGCTCTTCCGTTGGCAAAGGAACGTACTGTATTAATTCAAAACGGTCGTTTTGGTAGAATATATAGTCCAAACAGCCCGAAAACAGTGTGGTGTAGTGTGTGTACTCTGGTGCGCCACAAGCCGAGGTCATTTGAAAGGGTTGTGAAAGCTGCACATTCGAAACGGCCTCCTCGGCATTACTGCGCCAATCCTCCAGACTTTCTTCGGCTAGTTTCTCGGTCATCAACTTGTATATTCCACATTCGGGAACGCTATTAAAATCGCCACAAAATATCAAACCTATATTTTGACGGCTACTGATATTAAAATCCTTCACAGCTTTGTTTATTAAATGCTCTATGAAAAGCATTGAAAACCCCATTTGCAAGAGTCTTATGTGATCTGCATCCGGATGGAAATATAGATGCGTGTTGGCCACAAGAACGTAGTTTTCGGTTCCCCTAATCTTTAGCAAACAAGTTTGTAGGGTTGTGGACCGATCGCAAATTCGTTCGGCTAGTTGAGTATTTGTTTTGATTTTATTCCAAAGGCTTTCGAATACGGGCAGAACAGAGATTTTAGATCCTAAATGCAGAACTTGGGAGTCCAGTAGTTCAAAGCGGGATGTCCTAAAGAAAATGGCAACTCCTTCTGCACATTTACCTTTCGGTGCCATTATGCCATGGTAATTATACGGAGGTTGTTCGAGAATTTCCTTTAAATCAAAATCAAAAATCCTTTGATCGACTTCTTGCAGGCAAATAAGATCAGAATTATAACCAATGATTTCGTTAATAAACAATGGTTTTCTGAAGTCGATTTGCAAATATTTTGCTGGACAATATGAGAATAGGGTTTTTCCGGCGTAGTCGCTGCTCGCATACAAATCAGCCAACAGATTGTATGTTACCACTCGAATTTCATTGGAGTCACTCAAATAATTCGGAGTATGATGGTGGCGAGCTTGAAATGGGCATAATCCTGGCGCCGCCTGAACCGCAGAGTTTGATATCTTTTCCACTACAGGACCATTTGCTCCCTGTTCATTTCGCGGCGTTAACTCAAATTTTAGATGATAGCCAACATCTTCGGGCGTCACTAGATACTGAAATCCTTCTCCACAAAGTGTCCATTCGGTATCCGTTGGTCGTTTTGCCTTGTACCATAATCCCTTGCTGTGCTGCCGCTCACCGAATTGAATCTGTACGTTGGTCGGATAAACCACGAATCCTGCTAAAATGCACGAAGGCAGTTTAAGGGATGCAATCCACGGTGGATTGAAAACCATATCGTAAACTGTATCCACCACCTGCAGTTTCAGTCCAGTCGGATCTTTTGCAAACAGTTCATCGAAGGTCATCTCACTGAAGTTGTCATCACAACTATCGCTATAGAGCTTAACATTTATCTCAGCAGGCGGTTTATTCTTCGATTTCTTGGATGATTTGGCGAGTCTACTTTGAATGTTGCTTTGGATCCGGGCTAATATGGCATTGATGGGTTCGTTCATTTGACGACGGAAATTAAATTCACGATTTATGTTCAAATTGGTGTTCACAAACCGAAACACAATATCTAGATCTTTGCTATCACTGGCATTGCGAAAGTACACTTTTTCCATATTGATAGAGCAGGAACTGCCACGAAATCTGGTCGAAAATAATATTCCCGACTGAGTTGAACTTCTGGCAAATATATCAGTGCCTAGAATTTTGTTTCTTAAATAACAAACAGCCAGACTTTTTGCACTTTTGGTAAAACCCATCAATCATCCAAGTTTTCAGGTCAACGACGAACGTGAAGATCGGTTTACATTTGTCGGTGCAAACGAGAGGTTCCCTTTGTTTATTTACTTTCTGCCGGTCTGCCTAAGAACAAATAAATTTAACCATCTCTGTGTTGTGCAGAGACTTTATACCAACTTACGTTATATAAGGTTATTGCAAAAACTACCGCTTAGAAGTTCGTTTACACTTTAGAAAAGTAGCAAGCGGGCGTCTTACACCAAAACAACCTCACTTTCGCAGGCAGAAATTAGGGGAAACTGCTCCGAATCCGATAAAACTAAGAGAGTTTTTCACTTTTACGCTCTGCCACGCTATGATCAGCTGTTCTTTTGGCATTCACCACGAACCGAACCACATGCGCCAGATAGACAAACAGCTGATCTTGGAATGAATGCTTTTGGCAAAAAGTTTCAAAGCGAAAGCTTTGATGCAAAAGCTTTTATATAAAAGCCCTCATTAATTCAATTTGTAATAGGATGTATTTTCTTGACTTTTTACACAAATACTATATACATTTGTATTTCTACAACCGATCGAGATTGTGATAATTTTAGCCCCCAGATTTGGTTATATTTCCTAAATCCTACACAAAATGCAACGCATACTTCAAGCAATATAAATTTAATTTAAACTTTTTATTTTTATTATAAATTTTTATATTTATGTAGATACCAAGTATCATGAATGATATTTTACTGTGTACATATATTTTAGCATTAATCAAATAGAATTCAATAATAAAATATTTTTCCTTTTTGTAGTATAACTACCCAGAGAAATAAATATTTGCGGTAAATATTGGCCCCGAGAGGTGATTTGTTTAAATCAAGACGTGTGTCACACTTTAGTTTTTATTTTTAAGATTTAAAATAAAACAAAATATTTAAATCTACAATTTTCCTATTGGATGCACCAATTTAATGTTTTAATAACGGCATTACCACGATTTAAGTAAATTATTTACATTTTTAAAATTCAATTGATAAATTAAACATGTTATTGCAACATTTTAAGTGTCTCCACAGTAACTTTATTATTCTCCAAGATAGACGCCAGCTCAACTATAAAACCTCCTATTTCACCTCAGTCGAAACTTTCTTTAAAGCAAATAACATAAACATTAAGCTAAGTGTTACGATCCAAATGAGACATGTTCTCCGAAAGAAACTTAACTTTTGGCCAAGGTAAGAAAGGACAACTGAGACGACGGCCATAAAAATGCGGAACAGAAGCCAGGTCATATGGTAAGGGTGTATTTGGGGGAAATGGGAAAAGAGCACAAGTGCATAAAAAGCAGAAACAAGCCAAGAGATGACTTGGCCAGGGCCAAAAAGGAATTGGCCTGGCCCCGAAACAGAGTCAACAACTGTGCGCCACACACGAGTTTGCCAAAAAAGATTGCAATACAGAAAAAATCAAAAACAAAAAAAAAACAAAAAAAAATCGCATAAAACTCTATGAAGGAAACGAAGGACTAAAAGGACAGCAGCAGGATGGGGCAGGCAAACGAAACCAATTGAAGAAATGTTGCTGACACCAAAAACGAAACTGCAGGGAAGGTCCCGATGATGAGGATGAGCCTTGGAACGAGGATGAGCCTGGGAATGAGGCTAAGCGCGTGGATGCAGAGCATATCCTTGGGGCTGGAACATGGAGCGGAAGCGGTAAGGACAACAACGAAATTAGTTAGCACTTGAGAGAAAGCAGCTTTGGCTCAGGTCCAGGACTCGTTGTTGGCTTACAACACCTGCGGGCAAAGAAGGACTTCTTGCTCCTCCTGCTCTCCTTCCTTATTGACGCGAGCTAGAGATGGTTCAATAGTTTCTATCGAGCAAGATTGGTTGTCGATAAAAAAAAAAAAAAAAAAAAAATATAAACATATAAGGAAAGGGTTTTTTAGAGCACTCCGAAAGGTTATTGTAATTTTAAGCAGTAAAACGCGAGTGACATGGTATAGAGCCGCGTTACAATCGTGTTTGTTTACAACAAAAATAAAAGTGTCCTCAGTCCTAATGGTTAACATGTCATTCTCTCAATGTACAAAGATCAGGAAAATCAATCAAAGATTCAAAAAGAATTAAATTGAAAAAAATATTAGTTGATAGTATCGATGTTTTTTCAGCTTAGGGGCCCATCTCCAACAAAAATAGTGAACCAAGATTTGAGAGGCAGGCAGCAATTAAATAGCCTCGAGTCCTTCGAACTCAATTGCAGCAATTTCAATAACTGTTGAGAACACTCAAAGGACGAAGAACCGGCCAGCTCGTTGCGATAATCTGTCATGCAGTCGGGACCCCAAGAACACCCTGTCGTACACCCACACAGGATCCACTCCTCATTCACTCCAGCGACAACTACAATATCCGCTTTGGGTCTCGACACTTGAGCAACTTTCTCGCACTCACCTATTTCACTTGCTGCAGGAATTTGCGATAATTCTTCTATTTTTCCTCTTTACACTTGAAAAACTTGTAGCCGAAAGAGAAGAACTGGTCTATTTCAATTGTAGATTTGTGATGAGGACTACTTTGTATATATTTTTTTATGTATTTTTTTTTTATTAATAAAAGCATGGAACGTGACGCGGTACGGCCGAAAAGTTAACACATTGAGAATTTTGCCACCAAGAAGCCGAAAATTGATGAACTTTTATTAAATTATATGTACGCTACACAATCTGATTTAGAAACACTGCAACTAAAATATTGAAACGTTTTGACAACCTCTGAGATGAGGCGCCAAGCCAACTTCTATCGACTATTTTAATAATACATTTAATTATCCACACAGAAGAAAGGAGAAGAAGCAAAGTTTCAAATACTAAAAAATCATTTCATTAAATAATGACCAACATACCATTAGCTCGATGGGCCTACCGTTCGACATTAAAAATAAATGAATCAACAGATATAAAAGTTTTGCCAAGAGAGTCATTTGCTAAAATTGGCAAGTCAAAAAAGAAAGTCAAAAGGGTGAGCGTAAAAACCCCAAAAAAAATTCAATGAGGCTGAAAATTTCCTGGCTTGATTCCAACTAAAGGCAAAGAAACAAAACAAAACTCACGTTTCTAATCAATTAAAAAATACAACAACTCGGAGAGGAAATCAAGAGTGGGAACGATTTTTGGCAATAAATAAATTACAACAAGCAGGCAGTCAAAGCGATTAAATAGAAGAGGGAGTGATGCAAAGGGAGCGGGTGTCGAAGAACAAAACTGTACTACGTCTGCTGCAATTTTAATTACGACTGCGATAAGAGCAGAATGAAAGTAATGGAAGGACGGAAAGGAAACCAGTTAGAAAGATTTACTAGTTCGTTTCGACTGAATAAATGTCCAGTACTCAGATGCTTTTTACCAAACTTTATGTAATATTTATGATAGAACCAGAGAAAAACCCAATAGTAAAATTAAACTTTAAAATTTTTGAATGTAACTAACTATGTTTTTCAAAATATAAACCTACTTAAAACCTACTTGTTTTTAAAAAATGTAAATATGTTTTCAAAATGGAAACTAAAGACAATGTCAGTTAACATAAAAATGTAATTTGAGAATTAAATTATAAATTAATGCACATTTGAAGAAAAGTGATATACCCTTCTACTTTTCCATTACAGGGTAAGCTACGTCGAAAGGCACCAGCTCAACTAATCCTCTGGCAAAGACTTTGACAGTTGTCTTAGCTTGCACAACAACAAAAAACAATAACATCTTCATCATCATCATTATTTCCAGCATTGTAGGATGGAAAGGCACAATAAACAAAAGCAAACGAAATAACAACAAACATTATCGCACATCATTATCGTTGGTTGTCATTCAGGGAGCGTTCCAGCTTAAAAAGCCACCCCACCCCACCCCACCGTCTCCTATGTATTTGCTTTATTTTTGTGTTTAGTTAGTTTTTATGAGCGTCATTATTTTCGCTTGCCATGGCGCTAAGCATCTTAAGTGGCTCCTCCTCCCGCATTTCCCTTCATTTTTTGGTCGAGCACTTTCCCTGTGTGTTTGTTTGCATAGGCGCAAAATGTCTTCGTCAACTTTGGACGATTTTATAATTTAACTTTTGCCGAGAGCTGCTGCCGCCGTCTTCCTGTTCTTCCTGTTTTTCCCCTTGCTAGTTTCGAAAACAACTTAATAATAAGTGAGTGTTGAGTGCTGGTTGGAGGAAAGTTGACTTGGTTAGAGAAAGACGGCTGCAATTAAGGTGGCAGTTGCTTTTTTGTTGGGTTTTTTGGGCTAGGCAATTATTATGAAGGATCCATGGTGTGCTGCATTTGAAAAGTTTTCGGTGCGGAAATAATTGTCAAGGATAACCATGGCAATTGTAAGGGGTGACTGGTAAACTTTAATGGAAAACCACTGCGAAGATCGTTGTTTTCAGTAGAACACAGGTCTTTTCGTGAAATGTGTTTGAAATAGGGGCAAACAAATGCATTATCTATGAGTTCGTAGAGTAAAATGGGTACATTACATTCCTTGGAAAGTATGTAGTATGTAACCTGTAGAAGGAAGAGTGTGGACCAGGATCAATAGCATATTTATTTTGAAATAATCAAGGCAAATTCGGATCATAATAATTTTGTTGTTTTGAAACATTAATGCATATGATTTCACTCGTGCGATTTTAATTTTATCAAAAGGGATCAACTATATAGTAGTACATACAGGACTCGCAGTTTATTTCAACCAAACCCCATCCAAAACTTGAACAGCCTATAAAATCTTAAGTGAACCGGTTCTCAAAATAATTTTAATGCTGGCTTATTATCTTGTGGTTAATTTTAAAAATATGTTTTACATTATAGCAAAAAAAAATCCTTAAAAAAAAAAAAAAAATGAACAAAATATACCCGGCTTCCAAACAAACACTTTCAAAAACACACCGGTTTTTTGTGTTAAAACATTTAAAATTAAGCTGTAAAGAGCAATTAAAAAGGTCCACCTAATTGCATGCGCTTATTTTTCTTAGTCTCTATAATTAAAAATCCTATTTAAAGAACACAGCCCATTGACATTTCAAACGCTTCTCAATATAGACAAGCAAATAGAATTAGGTTGAGAAGGCATAAAGTTTATCCTTTGTTCTAATAACAATAAGTTTGCTAGGAACAAATTTTCAGAAATTTTAATAAGTTACTTTGATTTGCTTCCTTCCACATCACAGATGAGTTTACTCACCTGTTAGCTTAGCCCGAAGCTTAAAGGTTGTTCAACAACTCACAAACATAGCTTAAGTCTTAAAAGTTTATTCTAAGTTGGATAATTTAATAAAGGTAAGAGCTAGCCATCTGTAAAAGGCATCCAGTTGTACATATATGCCAAAGTTCATATATACAT